GTTTAGGGCTTCGGGTCTTAGGGTTTGGGGTTTAGGGTTTAGGGTTTAGGGCTTTGAGGAGGCAACGCCGACCTTTAGGTGTTACCCATAGGGCCTAAAGTAGTTCCTTTTTGGGGGTTCATATGGGAAGTTGTCAAAATTATGGTCCCTTTGGGGGTACCCTAAATAATAGGTGCCGTATTATAATAAGGACCCAAAAAGGGACCCTAATTTTGACAACCACCCATATATAGAATGCTATAAGGTAACCCCAAAAAGGAACTACTAGGGGACCTCGAAGTGTTAAGGGGTTTGGGGTTTGGGGCTTAGGGTCTTGGGGTTTGGGGTTTAGGGCTTAGGGTCTTAGGGCTTAGGGTTTAGGGTCTTAGGGTCTTTGGGTTTGGGGTATGGGTCTTAGGGCTCAGGGTGTAGGGTCTTAGGGCTTCGGGTTTAGGGTTTTGGGCTTAGGGTTCAGGGTTTATAGGCCCGAATAATTACCTAACTAAGAACAAATGCGGGTCTGGGGGCTTAGGGTTTGGCGTGTAGGGCTTCGGGTTTGTAAGGTCCAGGGTTTACATAATAGGGTAATAGTTATTATATCAGACAAGTGTTCTTTATACTATGCCAGCTTAGATCCTTAAGCAATGATGGAGCATCACGACAAGCCCCGTAATTGAAACGAAAGGGAAAGTTACTCGGTGGCAGCAGGGCTTCAATTAGTCTGTAATAACACCGCTATCATCACAAGTATTGGCGTTGATACTGTACCACGCGGGGGCGGCAGGGGCTGCAGGAACCTAAGACTGCAGGAACTGCAGGGCACTGCAAGCTGCAAGAGCTACAGGGACGCAGGAGTGCAGGGGAAATGCAGGCTGCAAGGAGCCACAGGACCCTAAACCCTATATCTTAAAACCTATATACCCCTAAACCCTGTACCCTAAGCTCTAAACCCTATACCTTAAACCCTAAACCCTAGACCCTAAACTATATAGCCTAAACCCTATACCCTAAACCTACCCTAAACCCTAGACCCTAAACCTTAAACCCTATGTATATGTTCATATGTGTGTGTGTGTATATATATATATATGGGTAGTTGTCAAAATTATGGTCCCTCTTGGGGTACCCTAAATAATAGGTGCCGTATTATAATAAGGACCCAAAAAGGGACCCTAATTTCGACAACCACCCATATATGCATATATATATATATATACCCTAAACCCTAAACCCTAAACCCTAAACCCTAAACCCTAAACCCTACACCCTAAACCCTAAAGCCTAAACGCTGCAAGGGTTGGAGCTGAACGCGGGCAGCCAGTGCCCGAAGCCGAATCCCCACCCTTTAAAGCGGACCCTATACTACCCTTACCGTCGGGTTTAGGGTTGAGGGGTTTGTTTAGGGTTTAGGGTTTAGGGTTTGGGGGTTTATAGTACCCTATACTACCCTGTAATACCCTTGAGAAGGAGCGTATACTACCCTTATAAGGGAACTGTAAGGGTTCCTTTGAGGGCTCCTTTAAGGGATCTGTAGGGCTCCTTTAAGAGCTCCTTAAAGGAACCCTTGATGAAAACCTATGGGGACCCGCTTATAGTACCCTATAGCACCCTTTATAAGACAAAGGAACACCGTGCCCTGCGGCGGGGTTAATATAGGCAAACGAGTGCTGATCGCAAGAACCCATATCAGTCCTACTCTGGTAGTCATGGTACGAGCAGCATGAGTGGCGAGAACGAGAGCAGGAGAGCGACAATAGCACAGCAAAGAGGGATACCAATAATTTTGCGGCCCTGAAAGAGGGGCTTAGTGAGTGGGAGGTCTTCAATGTACCCTAGACCCTGACACTGAACAGTCTACACCCAATATGGAAACTCCAAAAGCCTAGTATAGCTCTATCATGTAACCCTAAACCCCAAACCCTAAAAGTTTTTTGGGGAGGACCTGCCTCTGCAAGCTTCAGGGACCACCTCCACGCCGAGTCCGAATCGCAAGCGAGGGCGCTGGCGCCCAAAGCCACCACATTCGGCTCGAGGCTGTCGGCTCTCGCCTGGGGAGCGGTCCAGGGCTTAGGGTTTAGGGTTTAGGGTTTAGGGTTTAGGGATGACTAACTTAAGCTCCCCGATGTAGCCCCTGATTCATAAGCCCCCCTTTAACTGCCTTAAAGCAGTGAGGTAAAGAGGCATCCCAAGATCAAGGCCATGAAGGAAAGTGGGTTGACGTACTGGGGGTTACATGAATTCTGTGCACACGGTTTAGGACTCACCGGGTTCATGGTTTCGGCTTCTAGGATCGTTGAGGGATCACGGGATGTCGGCAATCAGGGTGCTTCTATCACTTCTCCATAAAAACCTTGGAAACACTAAGCCCCAAACCCCCTGCACCGGAAACTCTGAACGTTAAACCCCAAACCCCTAAATCGGAAAACCCCTGCACCAAGTTGGCCAAGCTGCTGTTTGCAAGGCCATCAAGCACTTGGACCAAGCCAGTGCTGTTACCGTCGTGCCGTAGGTGACGAGGTCGGTTCGCAGCCCTCTGATTTCTTAACTTCCGAGGTGTTTCAATGCTTGAGGCTTGGGGTTGGGTATCGGCCCAGGGGTTTTGGAACCTAAACCAGAAAGACACCCGCAACCTTAATTTAGGCACTAGGGTTTTGGCGTGTTTTGGCAGTGGAGGATTTAGCGTTGAAGGGTCACTTCCCTCAAGAAGACATATCATGGGGCCATAGGGGGTTCGACTAATGAACAGTTTTCGGCTGGACTCCCTAACATAGTGCTAGTACAGTATAGGAATCCATAAACCCGCAGTCTAAGTATTCAGTCGTCAATATGAAGCAGAAGGGATCGCAAAAGAAGGTCCCGCCAAGGTTCTTTGCCAGGTGTGTACATAGAGCAGGTCTTTCCACCATAAACTTAGTTCACGACTTACTACTCATGGATCATAAAGGTTTTGTCCAAGTGTTCAACTCCTGAAGTCTCGTAAAGTAAAATAGTTGGGCCCGACTATTCCTGAAGCGGCTGCTACTACGAGTGGTTTCGGCCCAAGCTAAAGCCTCTAACACACCCCAAATCTTGCGCACCCTGAACCGTTGACCATGTAAACCCTAAATCAGAAACCTTAAGCCGTAGCTCCCTAAACCCCAAATCCCAAAATCTCTAAACCCTAAATCCCTAAGCCTCTAAACGCCGCCCAAACCCCATAAAGACTGACGCAGCCCCAAAATCCTGCACATAACCATAACTACACAGAAACCCGGAAACTCTTGTAGTACTCTTTATTGAAGGAAGTCTTTCTAGCACCCTTTCTTAAACCCTTAACCCTACACCCTGCACCCTTGTAGTACCCTTTGTTAAAGAAACCTGAACCCAGTGAAGTCACGAGTTTGGGGTTTAGAACCTGCTGAGGGACAGGCTGGATTGAGCATTTGAGCATTTGAGCATTTAGGATTTAGGATTTAGCTTAGTAGACCCGAAACCCTGACCGCCCTCACCCCCCATGACCCTGAACGTTAAAGCTTTGTAAACCACCTTACAGGCTCAGCAGGTTATGGAGCTTAGGGCTTAGGTCCTTCATAACTTACCCCAAACCCTACCGAAAAACGCCAGACCGTACAAGGCCTTTAAACCGTAAAGAGACCAGGCCAAAGAGCCGTAAACATCGCTAGACACCCAAAGACCCAGAAGTCCGAGAGTTTACGTTTGCCTAGGGCTCCAATGACTGAAGTAGGAAACTCGCCACATGATAGATAACCCAGCAACCCGTTATGGTACCCTAGACCCACAACTCTCATCCCAGAAACCTAAACCCTATCCCTGAACGCTAAACCCCAAAACCATAAACCCATTATCCTAGGTAATATAGGAGCCGAAATAATTAGAAACAGGGTTTTGGGGGTTCATGATTATAGTTATAGTATAATACCCTATT